TGCACACTGGTGGTGGTTGAGGAGAGACCCCCCCACATGATTGTAAAGCGCTTTGGGTGTACAACAATACACAGTAAAGCGCTATATAAATGCATCATTCATTCATTCATTCATTTAAATGGTTGTTTTTGATAGAGGTGCTACCCTTTAAACCATGACGCTTAACAAGAAGATTTCAGGACCGTAGTTGCATATTTTGTGTCTTGCTGTCCTTGTATAATGTCCTTCAAACAGATAACATACGGCCAACAAGAATTGGAACAAAAGACCAATAAGCATTAGATGAATCATCTAATGAGCCAACTGGACTTCAGAGCCAATCAAACATCAGGTGATGGGGCCTGCATTGTGCTTGACCCATCCGAAAATAGTGTGATGGTCATTCTGTCATGGTGTCACTTGAGGACTTGAGAAGATATTTGTCAGTTTCATTCCCTAAATCATTGTATTCACATGATACTGCAACTGTTGCAAACAGATTACATTTCTAAACCTACTATAGAAGAAAATGTAAACTTGTCATTGACTATGAGGCAATGTTGGAATCATTTTGTGATTTTGTGCTTTATTGTATATATTTAATATGATTGTGAATATGAGCTTTGAGCACCCCAAATCAGATCATGCACTTTATGTGACTGCATAACCTGTTAGTCCTATCTAGTAAGGATAGCGATGATCGCCAGACCCCTTTAAGAGCAGAGCCGATCAGAGCAATGCTTATTAAAACAGAGGCAACTTTAAGAACACTTTAACTTGATGCGGTCAATTCATTTGCTTTCATTATAAAATTCCCATCCTAAAATAGGGTCTATGAAAAATCTTGTGCAGTCTTAAAAGTGTGCCCTTTTTACAGTATATTTTAGTGTGCATTTCAATATACACAATTTTACAGCATTTTCAAACAACTTTCTGTAGCCACAAAAGTTAGATAAGAAATGATCCAGAGTGTGCTAAATAAATATGTTTGCAAACAGAAATTGCTTAGCATAGCATAACAACTACTTACTTGATGTCTACACTACAGTACATTGACAAAACATAAGTTGGGTCATTATCGCATTATTATTGATTTACAAGTTATGAATGCATCACTGGCATCGTTAATCAATGCATATTTTTCACTTAATCTATCTTTTTTGGCCTCTTATTTTTCTGAATGAAACACGATCTGGTGAAATGACAGAATTTTTCTATTGTGATGTATGCAGGATTTCTCCAATCATTTAGTCTGCTAAAAGGCATAGTTCACTCAAAAATAAAAATTCTGTAAATAATTACTGTTAATAATTCCAAACCCGTAAGACCTCCGTTCATCTTCGGAACACAAATTAAGATATTTTTGATAAATTCTGAGAGCTCTCTGACCCTCCCATAGACAGCAAGGGTCCTTACACGGTCCAGAAACGTAGCAAGGAGATCGGTAAAATAATCCATGTGACATCAGGGGTTAATCTGTAATTTTATGAAGCTACGAGAATACTTTTTGTGTACAAAATTAAAAAAAAAACTACTTTATTCAACAATTCGTCTCCTCTGAACGTAAATTGCATATGCTGTTTTGTGTCAGCTGTTCCACGCGGATACGCTGTTTATGTCGTAAACGCATACGCAATTTACGTTCAGTGGATACTCTCCAAAATGGCGCTAGGGTGACGCGGAGGAGACGAATTGTTGAATAAAGTCGTTTTTTTTTTCTTTTGTGCACAAAAAGTATTCTCGTAGCTATTCTCAACCCCTGATGTCACATGGATTATTTTACTGATGTCCTTGCTATGTTTCTGGGCCTTGATCGTGTAAGGACCCTTGCTGTCTATGGGAGGGTCAGAGAGCTCTCAGAATTCCTCAAAAATATCTTAATTTGTGTTTCGAAGATCGTTAGTTAATTAGAAAAAGTAACTATCCCTTTAAGATAATTAGGGAACTACGCTGCGGTTGCAAAAGATAAACCTAAACCAGTTGCACCCACAAATTCTTACAAACGTCTTACCATTTAAAGTATTTAACATAAAAAAAATGCCACACTTCCACTTCAGTGTCAGTTAACGCAAATACCTGACTGGTCACACACCTTCACACCGCAGGGCCTGCTGCTTTAGATAAAGCACATATATAAAAGCCTCCTTCCTGTATTCAGCTGGTCATTCTCGGAAATGCCAGAGGAAACAATGGCCTGTTATCTATCCAAAAAATGGCTTAACCTCTGTGACAGCCCTATTCACGGCACTCACAGTGCAAGGACGTTTGCAAACTTTGGAGTCTCAACAAAGCATCAAATTATGTCCCCATAGCAACCAATTCCACACTTCCAGCTTTCCTTTAGCAGGGGTTGCTATGGTTACCGGCAATAGACATAAGTCAGTCATTTAAGGGGTGTCTAGAAACCCCATTCAAACCCTGCAGTCTTCAATGTCTTTTTATTACAGACTGTGCATTGAGACAAAGGCTAATCGCGCAAGCAATCATGAGCGCAATTTGGCAATGTTGTTATCAGGATTGCCTCTCGTTCACATTCAGGGGCCGTAGAGAAGAAATGCTTATAGATATTTACTGATATGTTGGTTTATTGCATCAAAAAGTATCAAAAGCCATGTAGTCAATGACGTTTGAGCATGTTAAACACTGCATTTCTTTTACTTTCAAATCAAATGTCTATATTTTAACTTGTTCACCAGTTGGGACCCGAATTGTCTGTTTTGGGGGATTTCGGTAAGATCAGCTTATAGGAAGTCTAGACCAGTGCTCAGCATGAGCCCACATTCATCCCAAAAACACGAGGATGTCAAACCATATGTTCATATAAACAGCACTCTACAATTCTACTGTATCAAACAAATGCACACATTTAAATGCCATTTTCGCCTGTGATGAAAGCAAACCCCAATCCTTTTTAAATGTGCCTAGTGTCTAGAAAATGAAAAGCGCAGCTCTGTTTTTAAGTGTCTTTGATGCAAAGCCTTTTATGTTCTTAAGTGCCACTGCGGTTGATGCGTCCAGGGTTAAGATACCCCTGACCACACTCATGCGGAGCCGTTTCAAAGCAAAAGGGAATAATATCAAGTTATCAGATAGGCTTTTTACACCCATAAAAGAAGAACATTTGCATTTAGTAAATATACACACACACACACACACACACACACAAAGTAAAAACCATCATGAAGTGTTTGGAAGACTTTTTTTACATTTTTAAAAATCACCTGAATGAACACTGTGTACAAGTTGCAGGTCAATATGAATTCTACTAAAACAACCAAAAATAACAATATAGTATGTCTAAATCTCTGCTCTTTGACACTAGAACACTATCCAACAAGTGGACTAGCAATTACGTCATTACTGCATAAAGCAACAGGTTGGGCTACTTACTTTCTGTCGACTGTAGAAGAAGAAACAAGAAACATGCAACTAATCTGAGCCACACTGAACCCAAAACAGTAAGATCCATATCCATACTTGGATGTCATTGTGATAGTGGGCAAGCTGGCATGATCACGGTGTGTTACTCAAGCATCCTCCAGAGTGTCTGTCTGTTTGTGTCTGTCTGTTTGTGGCTGTCTGAGTCTTAGCATGCTCTCATTCACATGCCCACCAATGAGGCGCAACTCTGTATCCTCAATACAAAGAGGCCACTGGGGATTGGTGAAGCCTTAAACAGAGAGGGGCCATCAAGCTTGCTGTCTGAATAATAATTAGCAGTGGATGATAACATTGGATATTAAATAAGGAACAGCAGACAAAATGCAGCTATGCAGTACTTTTCACCCTCTTGCAATCATGGCCTTCCATCCACTCCAGTCTAACGACTTCACTCAAAAAGCTCTTATTTAATGCAAAATAGACCATGCCATCTGCCAGGATTCTTGGGTAAGATTGTGCAATGCCTTCTGGCTAGAGTTTAAACAACTAGCTCACTTGCCATGAACCTTGTGCACTGGTGAATCTGTCATTTTTTTTCTGCGGTTTGTAATAACTCTCCACACAATTCTCTATTATTTTGTTTTTGCATATTCTTTCTTTCCCCTCAATTTTTATGCTTTCTTTTTTTTGTTAAATGAGGACTAAAATAAAAATGAATTCATTAAACAGAAAAAATATAGATTATTTTTGTCCATTTTGGACTATAATGAAAAGCAGAACAAAAATAAGAAAATAATAAATAGGAAATCCCTATAATAATAATAATAATAATAATAATAATAATTAATCTTGCAATTCTACAGTCTACTTCTAAAAAGCAAAGAAATATAACATACATATGCATTTTATAAGGTGTAAATATAAGAAATCATAATTTCCTAAATAATAATAATAGGCAATTACTATAATAATAGTCATAATAATAATAATAATTTAAAATTATTTACCTTGAGTTACACATTTCAGAACTACTAAAAAGTATAAATATAACAGGCCTAGATAAGCATAAACATTGGCATTACATATGAATATACGAATATATCACCAGTTTTTGTATAATAAACCCCTCAAAACAAACGGTAATTCTGTCACTTTCCTTTCTTATTTGCAGCTAAAAAAATCACATCGCTATGTAAAACTAAATGTAAACAGACCTAACGCTAATAGCTATTGCAAATAAGTAGCTATTCTATTCTCGTGAAATCGTTTTATTTTGAGGATCTTATTTTGTAAACGTGTGCTGTGGACAAATACACAGGCTGGCGTCTTTACTCTTCAAATGACATACAGGTACATGCATGCAATAACTGCAACACAAGTTACACAACAGCCGCGCCTGAACAACATTTCAACGTGCATGAAGCAGCTTCCTGCATTGTGGGCGTGTCTACAGATTTTTAAAGGAATCCTAGAACTTTGATTGGTTTGCGTTTGCTTTTCTTTCCAGTGATTGGACAATTCTATCAGCTGCAATTAACTGATTGGCCGCCTGGTCTGTACTCAAATTCAAACGTTCGACCACGCACTCTGGTTTTAAACGGTATTGTAGCTCACCATCACTAACATGTGGATGTACTGAATAGTCGTTCATTTAGATGAGTTAAAAACATGTCGTTTAAAGTAGCGAAAGCGGAATGTTTGGACTTTAGTCCAACATTTGATTCTCATTGTAATCGCGATAAACCCGGCAAGGAAAACAACACTTCAATATCTGTGCTGAGTTTGCGTCAGTTCTGCAAGTGTCCTTTCGTGTCATTTGGGACGATCAAGTTGGGATCATCAAAATCTTTGCCTTTACGAATCGAAAATCCCACCGAGGATGCAACAACGACAGTCATTGTGGATAAAATTGCAACATCCAAAGGCTTTTCGGTTGATCAGACGTCTTTTACAATGCAGGTAAGCGTAAACAAGAAGCTGTGTGTCTAAACCTAGTGCTGCTTTCCAGCTAACGTTAAACAAAGCGAAGAAAATCTGTTAATGTGGTTAAAAAAGGTGCATATTGCATTAAGTAAAATATTGCATAACTATATACTATGGGAATGAGACATGTTTATTAGTGTATAGGCTACACTGAATAGGGTTTATTCAGATTACAGAATTTACACATACACAAAGCTATTTTGCAATATGTAGAGCAATAACTCACCAAGAAATGAAAATTATTAATTCACCTAGATCTGTTTAATTTAATTACATTTTTTTTTTTATTCTGTGGAACACATGAGATGTTTGGGAGTGTGTTCACCTCACAGGACTGAAGATGTCAAGCTCTTAAACTCAAGAACAGTACCATGACACTACTCTATAGGACTCAGTCACATTACATATGAGTCTGCTGAAACAATATGATTATTTTTTGTCTTAAATTGAATTATTATTTACTAAGTCATTATTCACTGAAATCTCCTCCAACATAGCTTTCTGCTGTCTAAATATGGGCATGCTCAAAATTAGTGCCTTGTAATTGATTTCAAAACACATGAGAAGCAAGGACATTGAGCATAGTAGTTGATGTCAAATCAGATGTGACACTTTTTGGCGCACTATATTTGAGTATATGCAAAGGTTGTGCTGAGAAGATTAATAATTTTGTGTAAAAAAGACCAGAATGTAACTATGGAATATTGGGCATGAGTTGAATGGGCTTCTTTTATGCTGCTTTTTGTCATTTTGAAGCTTGACAGCTCAGACAGTCCCTATTCACTTTCATAATATGGAAAAGAGCTGCATGAACATTTAGCTAAATATCAAATTTTGAGCTGCACTGAAGAAAGTCGTAAGTTTGGAATGGCTTGAGGGAAAGTTACTTAAAAGTGCGTTCTCTATTTTTTAGCCTGAAGGCAGCATTATTTTAACTGTCACTTGGACACCAGTGGAAGAAGGCGGGGTTCGAGAACTCCTCAGTTTTGTTGCAAATGGAATTGTCAAACACCAGGCGATTTTGCTTGGGAAAGCACAGGCGACAAAGAAGAAAAAGGTAATCTCTCTCTCTCTGCCTCTGGATGTTTTATTTTTAAAATTTACACAGAGAATGGGGTAAACGTACCTATTAAGCTCACCAAAATCTACATTGAGACATTTTTAGTGCACAAGATATCGGTTTCAGTACAAGTTATGTTAAAATAAAATATTAATCTCTCACACAATAATATTTAAATGTATTTTAAATGATAAAAGCATTTCATCATTAAATGCAAAAAGTCTGGCTGTGCTTAATGGGTACATTTTTGTACCCTTTAAGCACACCCCTGTTCCCATTAAACTCACATGATGTTTTATTAAAAATTCTTGTTTATTTTAAACAATCTTTCTAAAGCATATGTTTTATTTGAGTCAATAACAAAAAAAAAAAAACAGAAAACTAAAATCAGGCAACAAGGCATTCAATTTGATCAGTTATATATTCAGTGAAGTGTCATTCAAACACAACACCTAGACTAGTCCTTGTTCAGCTAAGTAACACATAAGTAACACAAAAATCAAATAAAAAAAACAAACCTATAAAACATTTAATTCATGGGGATGAACACGGAAACTAGCCTCATTATGAAGCCTCTTATTAAATGGATGTGAACTTAATTATATTCTCTTAAGGCTGGAATACACTACACGATTTTTGCCCTAAATTTCCACCATTTTACAGTCTGGAGAAGTTGACACTAGGGCTGTCAAAATAGCTGAAAAACTAAATTCGAATTTTTTACTTAAATATGATCAAAATTCGAATTCTATTCGAATTTAAAATGCATAATTTCAGTTAGGGTGAAGAAAAGCTTTTGGCTTCTTTCCTGAGGCCACAAGAGGGTGCATCGAGCATAAATATTACTAATGCACGTTTATTCAAAGTGCATAATGTTTAAAATAATGTTTATAAACCAATTATACTTAAGTTGCTTAAACAACTCTAAACAAAACAGCATCATGTATGTACAGTGGTGTGAAAAAGTGTTGGCCCCCTTCCTGATTTCTTATTTTTTTGCATGTTTGTCACACTTTAATGTTCATTTAAAAACACGAGTTGCAGTGGGATGGGGAAAACACCCTCCATAAAGTCATGAGGTATGCTTTTTCAAAGTTGAACTTGCATTAATTTTACATGGCTTTCTAAACATGCGGCTCCTTTGTGCGAGATGTGAGTGCAACGGTGATGGATGTCCCTCTAGAAAATGAGCGAAATATGTGTTCTGTGTGAACGGCTTGCTTTCAGTTTTGATGTAAACAAGATCTCCGCATTGATGTTCTCTTTTCCCACAATATTTCACACACAATTCAGGGCTCTACGCTTATTTTTCTTTTTAGGAGCACTTATGCTCCTAACTTTAAAAATTTAGGAGCACAGTCAAAAATTTAGGAGCACCTTCTAATCAATAATCCAAAATTTGATTAAAAAAAATTAGCCTTCCCTTTACGAGGTGATATTTGACTCAAAGTGATTTACAGTGGAATTTTGTTTTTACCTTTGTAATGCCATTTTTCTAACTTTATTATAAAAGTGTCATCTTTTGTCAAATTAAAAAAAAAATTTATTTTATAATCTTTTTAAAAATTCTAATTGAAACCATAGAATAAGAACAAGTAGAATAAGAAGAATAAGTTACTAATCAAATGAAATCAGTATTAAAATTAATTTGTACAGAGGTGGCACAGAAGAACACAAAAGTGGCTTGTAGGTGTATTTTCAGACATGCAATTAAATCCATAAATTCATGTTGAGATTAATGTTTTAAAAAATCTTGAATATAGAAATATTAAATGATTTAAAGAACTGAAAAGATACTTAAAAAATTAAACAAACTGCCAGCAGGTGGCGACAATCACTGATTTTATCACTGAATCATTCATTCAATTGATTCATTCGAACACGGCACAATTAATCTTTTATTTACACCGTCTACACTTTTCTTATGAAAGGATTCATGAGATATGTCTGTGATACATTACTGAACGCTGCAAAAACACGTAGAAACCTTTGAAGCTCCCCTCAGCCATCACAATCACAAATATGATGAAGATCTGGTCAGTCGCACTGGTGCTTCTAAATATTTTTTCATAGTCGTACGCAGTAGTTTTCAGTCGCAAATGCGACTGAAATGGTCGCACTGTAGAGCCCTGTGCCACTGATAAGGCTGCCTCCTTAACGCACATCTAAAATTGTAGGTGAATGTGGATTTTTATTTTAAATTCGACGAATATTCGAAATTCGATTATTTTTTTGACAGCCCTAGTTGGCACTAGTTGTCTGCTAGTGTGAGATCCTCAGTCGTTTAGTGTATGATGGCCAGTTTTCTTTTGTGACTATTTACAAAGTCTGTAAGTGTATGATGCCTGGTGTTTTAAAAATCAGTTCAGATTTTAAAAGCCATGTAGTGTATTCCAGCCTTTAGTCGCTTTTTTTTTTTCTGGACAGATAAGACAAGTTTCTGATAGCTCCTTTGTACGGACGACATGCCTCTTTCATCTTTGGGCATAAACTATAGAGTATGTCTAGATTTTGTCATCTTAAAGCTGTGAAAATTAGTTAATTATTTTATAAAGATTAACTTAAAGTGACAACAATCAGTTAATATTTAAAGTCTGTTTATGAAGTGTTTACATAGACGTTCAATGTGGAAGAGCTTAAAGGGAGCACACTGAGCTTAATTGGAGCAGCAACCATTTTTAATTAATAAATATTACATGAAATTTAAAGGACAATATTTTGCAAAATAAATAATCTAGGTCATTTGAGTTTATACATAATTTAATATGAACAACTATTATTGACTATTTATGAAATTATACTTTTCTTATTGATGTCACACTGAAGCTGTGTGATTTTCATAGTAGTGCACCCTTTAAGCTCACCTTACAAAAATATGAAATCTTTAAAAATTACAGCATTGTAAAACCACAGACCAGCAATAAACTGTCAATTTATAATATTATAGATTTAAAAATACGCATCTGCGCTATGTTGCTAAAACTATCTTTTGGATCTAACTTTAATTGGGCCTATTTCCCACATCCAAGTTCCAGGTTATAATATGCAAAGGTTAAAACCTTAATCTCTTAATTTTGCAGAAAGTAGTGAAACTTATCCAAAATATAGGCTTAAACATCTAAAAAAAAAAAAAAAAATTGCACATTTAAAGGCACAATATGTAAGGTTTTTTTATTAAAGGGGTCATATGATGCTTTTTTAAAGATCATTATTTTGTGTATTTGGTGTAACAGAATATGTTGACCAATGACGTCATAACCCCTCGATTTCCGGTTTTGTTTTGTAGAAAAAAACACTAAAGACGCTTTAATATGTTGTGCGTTTTAATAGACCGGTGACGACCGCACAGAGTAGCATTATAACAGAACTTTCAAATGTATCTAGTATGATAAAACAGCGCTGCTTTTTTTCCCCCACATACACACGACCGGAAGGAGCGGAAGCGGTCGACTGTGGCATAATAAAAGCTCCGCTGCTTTCGAGACGTGTGTCGCGCTCGTTCAGCGGCCTCGTTTCGCTTCGATGGCTTTCAGCCTCACCCTGCTTCATTCTACTACGCTAACAAATCATTAGCTCATCCATGAACATGATTTCTGCCCGAGTCCCGTCAGATTGCATCGGCTGTCGGGATGAAGACGACAACTCCCATGATTCCACACTCAGTCACAGCGTCATCAAACTACGCCTTTGTCTATTTGTTTATTTTGAATACGTGCCCTCTAGCGACGAAAATTACATATTGTGCCTTTAAGGAGCTACTCTTCTGGTGAAAGTTTTCAGACAGCTTTCAAAATGGCCGCCAGACAGTGTGAACACATACCTATATCTCAGCGTGCAATGGTCTTATTGACTTTGAAATTACAGGAGGTATGTAGTAACAAACACATCAATTGGTTAAGACATCAAGTACGATAACACATTTTTTTTTTTTTCTTTTTATAATCTGAGCTCAGAAATGGTAGTGTGCTTAATGGGTACGTGAGCTTAATAGGTATGCTTACCCTATGTGTTTTAGTATAATGTTGAGTGCTTACAAATTCTTGATTTGCAGAAAACCTTATGGGATTCAATTAAATCCAAGAAGGGTGTCCCGGCACCCTCAAAAGAGAAGAAAGTGTCTTCAATACCGATAAAGGCTGCAAATATGACATTTCATGTCTCACGCCAGTCGCAGTACAGAAAAGATAGAACATCCAACCCGTTGTTGCCATTAAACCAGGAACGGTCTGCCTATGGGTCCAATGCCATTAGGATGAATGCACCATCCTCCACTCCTGAGATGTCAAAGCCTGTTTTTGTGACGGAAAAGTTTGTTGATGTGCATTTGCAAAAAAACTCACCAGTGGTCGTCTTAGTACCAGCAGAGAGATTTTTGGATACACCTGGTAACAAGGATATGACTTTTTCACGTAAAGCAGAGTGCAAAGAAATCACAAGGGTTTTGAATAAAACACTCTCTCCTGCCAGCACCCCAGAGAGGTTTGGAAATCCTTTGTGCTTTCAGAGTCCACTTCCCATGATTGGACAATTTGCACAAGATCAAAGTCGAGAGCCAGAGAAACCGTCTTTGTCTGTAAAAGGAGCTCTGGATGTTATAGGATCAGATCTGTCGCATGCAGTGAGTCTGCCTAATGCTTGCTCAAGCTTTGATTTTTCTGTTTCTCTTGAGTCTGAAAAACCTGATCCAGAAAGATCATTTAGAGCGACAGCAGTCATTTCACCACCAGTTGAAGTCGCTCACCCAAGGTTGACTTTCTGTGTGAAACCCAACAAAGTCATAAGCGTTGAATCAAATCATGATGCATTTAGGCTCAAGGCATTACCTTTTAGCACCGCCACAGTGACCAAGTTGAGTAAAGTGGATGATGCCCTTGTTCCTGATGGTCCCAAGAAGTTTCCTGTGAATTCTACCACAGTGACCAAAGGCAAACCAGAAGCCTCTGTTGAGAGTCCAGGCTTGCGTAAGAAGAAAACTTCCAGACGCAGGCTCTTGGAGAAGACCGTGGAGCTCTCAGAAGCTAGTAATGCAGAATCCAACACAAGTTCTCCTGACAGTGCTTTACCTGTCATCAGCTCAGATTCAAGTCCAGATGTGGCACTAGAGTCCAAATTTTCTGTAACTTCAGTGCAGGTTACACAAGAGAAGCCAACCTCAAAGTTATCCCCTCCTGAACCGCTTTTGTCCTCTATATCTCCCATTCGACCTCAAGTTTTGACCATGGTTAGTAGCAGTCCGTCAAGTGGTCTGGAATTGGCAGCTGGTAACGTCTCTGACAAAGTGCAACCAGGTCTTTATCAGGACCAGTTTCCTGTGCAGAGTAAAAAGAGAAAAAGTGATGAGATTTTGAGAGGTCAGTCAGAAGATGAGGCAAACGTCCAAGCAAAAAAGTGCCGTGCTTCGACACATGCGACAGAGAGACCAAGCCATGAAAGAACGTTCACTTCAAGGTCCACATCTGGACAGCAACGCAAAGCTATAGGTAAGGCAAGTGTACTCCTTGTGAATGTCATACTAAAAATCTAGTATGCATTATCGAATACACACTGGTATACATTATTTGAGATATTTGGTCCAAAATATCTCAACATTAATGTCCAAATAATTTGGACATTGTAGGAGTTGAGAACTTTTTTTTTTTTTTCCTAAAGCTCCACCAAGCTCAAGAAAGTTCACAAAACCTCCACCAAAGAAATCCTCTCCAAAACCGACTCCAAAAGGTAAGAATACATTGTGTGCCGCCTTTTTAGAATGACATGTCTTAAAATAAGCTTTGAATAACGTGCACTACAAGTTCAGTATGACCAAGGATACCATTTAAATGTATTTCACCCATATAGATGGCCGGTCTGTGAAGTCACTGAGCATCTCGAGTCGAAAGCCTGCAAGGATCGTGGCTGTAGTGCAGGCCAAACTTACCTTTATAAAGCCATCACAGACTGGTATGTTTTTATGGCTACTTTCTTATAATTTCTTTTGTTGTATGGCATAACTTGCTTATATTGTACAATCTTGACAGCCATACCAAGGCATCCTCTGCCATTTGCTGCAAAGAACATGTTTTATGATGAGCGATGGATTGAGAAGCAGGAGCGGGGCTTTACTTGGTGGATGAATTATGTTCTCACTCCTGATGATTTCAAAGTTGCTACTGAAGTTACCAAAGGTAGGCGCTTTTGTTTTCTTCATGTAAGATTTTGAATCTTTTGCTTTTTAAGTAATTTCAGCAGCATTCTTGTAACATCTTTCTTCCTTTTATTGTGTCGTCTTAGTGAATGCCTTATCATTAACTATGGGGAACGACAAATTCAATATACCCAAAGCACCAACAAAAGAAGAGATGTCTTTTAGAACCTACACAGCCCGTCAACGGCTAAACCGCCTTCGGCGAGCAGCTTGCAAGCTTTTTACGTCAGACACCATGGTAAAGGCCATCCAGAGACTGGAGCTGGAAGTAGAAGCCAAGAGACTCCTTGTGCGAAAGGACAGACATCTCTGGAAGGACATAGGTATGAGATGCAATACGATATATGTTTTATCATTGTGAATTATGCTTGTATGACATGGGAAATCTCTTTATACAACCAAGTGTTTGTTGTAATGTTTTTGAGAAGTGTCTTATGCTCAGCAAGGCTGCGTTTATTTGATCAAAAATACAGTAAAACAGTGATTTTGTGAAATCGTATTATAATTTAAATATTTGTACTTTAATATATTTTAAAATGTAATTTATTCCGTGATTTAGCGCTGAATTTTCAGCATTACTACTCCAGATGATCCTTCAGAAATCATTCTAATATTCTGATTTAGTGCTAAAGAAACATGTTTTATTATCAACAGTTGTGCTGCTTAATATTTCTGTGGAAACCATGATAGGGTTGTTTTTTAGGATTCATTGATGAATAAAAATAAATCTTTTAACATTACAAATGTCATTACTGTCAATGTTTATCAATTTAATCTGTAATACTATTAATTAAAAAACAATCATACTACTAAAAACACTCTTACTATGCTAAATATTCTAAGTATTTGTTTTAATGGTCAAATTTTATTTTTAGTTTTTCAGCAAGCCTCTTAAAGGCACAATATGTAATTTTCGCCGCTAGAGGGCGCGTATTCAAAATAAACAAATAGACAAAGGCGTAGTTTGATGACGCTGTGACTGAGTGTGGAATCATGGGAGTTGTCGTCTTCATCCGGATATTTTAATAAAAAAATCTTACATATTGTGCCTTTAAGGTGAATCTTTTTCTGATTTTTCACCTTTTATTGTTCATTTCTCAGGTGAGCGTCAGAAAGTTCTTAACTGGCTGATATCATTCAATCCACTTTGGCTGCGAATCGGACTTGAGGTATTAATTTTTCTTTGTGAAAGCATAATGTTCATTTGTTGCTGAAAATATTACATTACATTATGATTTCATGTATGACATATCTCTTACCCATTCCTTTTTTCAGACAATCTATGGAGAGCTAATATCACTTGAAAGCAACAATGATGTCATGGGATTGGCCATGTTTATTCTTGGACGTCTCCTGTGGAACCCAGACTTAGCTGCTGAGTTCAGACACCCTAAAGTGCCTCATTTGTACAGAGATGGTAATTGAATTTGATTTTTGTTTAATTTTATTTTGAAATATTTCTATTTTTTTTCATAGTGTTTATTATTACTATTATTTCTTCTTACTTTTGCAAACAGTGTGTCTGCTACAACAGGTTCTTTATTTTTTCACTTTCACTCATCAGGCCACGAGGAGGCACTCTCTCGCTTCACTCTAAAGAAACTAATCCTGCTGGTCTGCTTTCTGGATAAAGCCAAAGAGTCCAGACTGATCGAACATGATCCTTGTTTGTTCTGCATGGATGCTGAATTTAAGGTGCATGCATCTATGTATATATACTGAACAAAATTATAAACGCAACACTTTTGTTTTTGCCCCCATTTTTCATGAGCTAACCAGAAAAAAGGCAGTTAAAACACAATAAGGAATTTCACAATAGTGCACTTTTTTTTTTCTCTAGACAAGCAAAGATCTGCTACTGGCGTTTTCTCGGGACTTCCTCAGCGGTGAAGGCATTTTGTCACGGCACCTCAGCCACTTGGGCCTAGCAGTATCCCATGTTCAGACTCCTCTGGATGAGTTCAACTTTGCTGTGAAGAATCTTGCTGTTGATTTGAGATGTGGCATTCGTTTGGTGTATGTTTGATTTGAAAATGTTAATTTTTGCATGTTTATTGTTCATGCGTCATAATGAAATATCATAGCTGTTGTTACCCAAGCCAATATTTAAATGTGACATTTAAAAAGCCTCCAAAATCCCATTATATACATCTTCATTAAATATTTCTATATTCATCTTCAGACGGGTCATGGAGCTCTTCACTCTGGACTGGACTTTGTCTAGAAAGCTGCGGATACCCGCTATTAGCCGCCTGCAGAAAGTGCACAATGTTGATGTTGCACTACAGGTTCTGAAAGACAAAGGTGTTGACCTTAAAGATGAGCATGGTGAGTTTCATGACAGTAAATAACTAGCAATGCCTTTATAATCTGGGGGAAAAAACTCAAACTGAATTTGCTTCCATTATCTTGAAGGAGCGAACATTGACTCCAGAGACATTGTGGATGGACACAGGGAAAAGACCCTAAACCTTCTGTGGAAAATCATATTTGCCTTCCAGGTATCAACTAGGGCTGAATAACATATCTTCCAGTCCCCTTTTTTGGATAAATAATCCGTTTGACTGTTGCTAATTTTTACCTTTCAATATCGTATGTGTGACCTTTTAAACATTGACCTTACATTCTGATGTATTTTAATTTTCATAGGTGGAAGTACTACTTGATGAGAATCAACTCAAAGAGGAAATCAGTTTCCTCAGGAAAACATGGAGGACTAAACAGAAGCTGGCCTCATTAATGGCTAACAGTGGGGTTGCAGTGACAAGGATGAAGTCAAGGCAAGCATTTGAACATCCCAGCCAAAAAGTGACACTGCTCATGGACTGGGTCAATGCTGTTTGTGAGTTCTACAACATAAAGGTGAGTCACATTAAAGAAATAGTTTGCTCGTTTATTCACTCTGCAGAGACTTATTATTACATGTTTTTTTGAAATAAGGTATCCTGCATAGGATCCTTCTCTGAACAAAATCTCTCCATTATTTTTCCAGGCTGAAAATTTCACAGTGTCATTCTCAGATGGTCGTATCCTGTGCTACCTCATTCATCATTACCACCCTGGTCATCTCCCTGCAGAAGAGATTCAACAGAGAACAACGCAGACCATTGAATGTGGCCATCGTGGCAGAGTGGAGCTCAATAACTCCTCGACTGACTCAGACTGCTCTTTTGAAAATTTGCCCACAATACAAACTGGTACTTTGAGTAAATGACTTTTTTTAATTTATATATTTAAGATTAAGCATTCCTATAATAGTGTGGTAACTTATACAATTTAACACTGTAAATGTCTCAGAACGGTTTGCTTTTTTGCCTTTGGTTCAGAATCCCCGTCAGTGGACTTTAAAGAGCTACTTGAGAAAGAGAGAAGTAACTTTCAGTTGGTGAACACTGCTGTGTCTTATCTTGGAGGGGTGCCTGCTATGATAAATCCAGAGGATATGTCCAACACTATACCAAATGAAAAGGTAAAAATAATTGTAATCCCCTTCCACATTTTGGGTTAGCAGCAAAACATACATAAAAAATCTGAGGTTGTGTAGAAATACTTTTCATATTAATGTATATTTAATGCGTATTGATAAATTGTGACTATTTGTTTTAAACTCAGGTTGTCACATGCTACCTCTCCTTCCTCTGTGCCCGTCTTTTGGATCTCCGCAATGAAACAAGAGCAGCCCGGGTCATCCAGGGTGCATGGCGGAGATACAAGCTACAAAAGAACATTGAGCTTATTCAGGTAACGGTAGAGTTTTTCTAATTTTAAGCTGCTTGGAACCTTGCTGTGCTTAGATTTTTTGTCTTATATTGAATATGCTCTGCATGCACAGCAAAGGAACCTGGCTGCTACTAAAATTCAAGCCCTTGTGCGGAAGTTCATCTTGAGAAGAAGAATGATCAAACAGAATAATGCAGCCATCATAATCCAAACATTCTGGAGAGGATACGTTGCACGGGAAAAGTTGAGAGTGCTGAAAAAAGAGAAACAGTTTGCTCTTCAAAATGCAGCTGCAACTGTAATTCAGGTATATTCAGGATTAAGACAATATGTAATACAGCTCATCCTGTACCGCTGTACCTAGTAAAATTTTAATATTTCAGCAGTTAGCCAATTAATAGATCAATTATAGATCTATCTCTAGATGGCTAATCTTAATTAGAATTTTCTTGTCCTCCCATAGAAAACATACAAAGCTTGGAGGATTCAAAGTCTCCTAAAGAAAAACCATGCTGCCTCTGTAATCCAAGCAGCTTTCCGGAAATGGGACGCAAAGAAATTGCTGGAAGGAAATGCTGCAGCCTTGCGCATTCAAGCATGGTACAGAATGCGGCGTTGTAAAACCCAGTACCTGGATATGAAAAGCAAAGCAGTTTGTGTTCAAGCATGGTTTAGAGGTCACCTTCAAAGATGCAAGTTCCAGACTTTAAAGAAAAGGCATAATGCTTCAGTTGTCATTCAGAGTGCATTCAGGGCTTACCTCGTCAGACAACACATATCTAAAATGAAGCAAAATGCAGTTTTGATTCAGAGGTGGTTCCGAGCATGCATGCTAAGGAAAGCAGAACAGAAGAGATACTTCAAGATTAAATCGGCAGTTCTTGCTCTGCAAGCAGCTTTCCGTGGCTGGAAGGTCCGACGATCTGTGGCTCAGCGCCACCAAGCTGCACTTCTGATTCAAGCTGCTTTCAGGCGGTTTATGGCTCAAAGGCACTATTTATGTTTAAAAAGATCGGCCATTGTTCTGCAACAGAGATACAGAGCAAAAGTACTTGGAGACAAATTGCGACAAAAGTATATGGCTCTTAAACTCGCTTCAGTGACAATTCAAGCAATTTGGCGAGGACGAGCTGAGAGGAAGAAGATCAGTCAACTCCACAGATTTGCCGTAATCATTCAGTCAAACTACCGTAGATATGTGGCACAGACACGTTTTTTGGAAATGAAACAGGCTGCCGTAGTCATTCAAAGACAATACACAGCCTTCAAAGATGGACGGAAGGTGTACGCAGAATACACTGAAATTAAAAGAGCGACCATTGTGCTACAGGGTGCTTATCGTGGCAAGAGAGCAAGACAAGAACGGCAGAAGAAAAACAAAGCAGCAACTTTGATTCAGTCTGTGATAAGAGCACATAGGTGCCGTCAGAGGTTTTTAGCTCTAAAACGTGCTGCTATTGTCATTCAGCAACGTCATCGGGCTTTAGCACTTGGATGGTTGGAAAGAAACCATTACGTCCATTTGAGGCAGGCAACTATAACTCTACAGGCCATATATCGGGGTTCCAAAGTGAGGCAAAATCTGAGACGAGAGCATCAAGCTGCTACTATCATTCAAGCTCAATTCCGAATGCATAAGGTACGCGTTGCCTTTCTTGCTGCAAAGTGTGCAGCTATCATCATACAGCAGCAATACAGAGCCTACAGAGTTGTCAAATGCATGCAAGCTACTTACTTGCAAATGAAAAATGCCGCTATAGTTATTCAGTCAGCATTCAGGGGAATGAAAGTTCGCAACTACTTAAGAAAATCTCACCAAGCTGCAACAGTGATTCAGGCACATTTCCGTGGACATTCCCAACTCAAGAAGTACCAAAGACAACAGTGGGCCGCATCCATTTTACAGCAGCGATTCAGGGCAATGATGACTAAAAATGCTGTCGTGAAGAGATATGCAGCCATAAAAACAGCGGCCATATGTATCCAGTCAGCTTTCCGTGGAATGATGGTGAGAAAGCAGATTGCAGAAAGGCACAAATCTGCAAAAATGATCCAGAAGACATATAGAGCATACAAGCAACGCCGTGATTACCTTGCTCTCAGAAATGCCACTATTCGTATTCAGCAACAGTATAGAGCAATTGTAAGTGCAAGGCAACAACATAAAAGGTTTTGCTCCTTGAGAGCAGCTGCCATCACCTTGCAGTCTATGTACCGAGGGATGAGATTAAGGAAAGAAATCGATAGAAAGCATAAAGCGGCCACTGTGATTCAGGCAATGTACAAAATGTACAGAACTCAAGTGCCATTCCAAGCTATGAAACTGGCTGCATTGGTCATACAGAGGCAATGCAGGTGCCATCTACTGAGAAAAGAGGCGAGAGAGAACTTTTTGAAGCTACGGTGTAGTGCAATTGCAATTCAGACAATTTACAGAGGAAACCGTTTACGCCGTGACATTGCTAGAATGAATTTTGCAGCCACAGTCATTCAACGGAAGTACCTTGCCTACAAACAAAGAAAGTGCTTTTTGTCTATCAGAGCTGCTGTTGAATTCTGTCAACGACACTATCGATCCGTTTTGGTAGCAAGGCATGATCGGAGAGATTATTTTGCTAAACGCCGAGCTGTTGTTGCAATCCAAGCAACTTTCAGAGGAATGCAGGCCCGGCGACAGATCCGAAGAGAGCATGAAGCTGCAACAATCATTCAGTCCCATGTGAGAAAACACATCCTCAAGTTGCGCTTCCAGCGACTTCGGTGGGCGGTCTGTACTGTTCAGCAGCGTTTCAGAGCTAACAAAATGATGAAACGAGAGATGGCAGCACTGCAGGAACAGAAGAGTGCTGCCTTGATTCTGCAAGCAGCCTATCGTGGCATGAAGTCCAGACAGACTTTGAAGCAAATTCATCAGGCTGCCACCATCGTTCAGGCAACTTTCAGAGCTTATAGTGCTCATAAAAGGTATTTAGCCATGAAATGCGCTGCCATTGTCATTCAGCAAAGGTACCGTGCCACAAGTGTAGCGAAACAGCAGAGAAAGCATTTTCTTGAAATGTGCCAAGGTGCACTTGTTGTTCAGGCATGTTATAGAGGTCTTAAAGTTAGAAGGAAAGTACTACAACAGCGTCAAGCAGCTGTCTTGATTCAGTCTTATTTTAGGAGACACAAAGAGATGGCTAAGTACCAGGCCATGAGGTTGTCAGCTATCGTTATCCAGAGCCATTACAGGTCATACACCCAGGCCAGAGCAGATCGTGAAAACTATTTATGTTTAAGAAAGTCAGCCATTGTCATTCAAGCAGCTTATTGTGGCAAGAGAGCAAGACAAGAACTGCAGAAGAAAAACAAAGCAGCAACTTTGATTCAGTCTGTGATAAGAGCACATAGGTGCCGTCAGAGATTTTTAGCTCTAAAACGTGCTGCTATTGTCATTCAGCAACGTCATTGTGCTTTAGCACTTGGACGGTTGGAAAGAAACCATTATGTCCATTTGAGGCAGGCAACTATAACTCTACAGGCCATATATCGGGGTTCCAAAGTGAGGCAAAATCTGAGACAAGAGCATCAAGCCGCTACTATCATTCAAGCTCAATTCCAAATGCATAAGGTACGCGTTGCCTTTCTTGCTGCAAAGTGTGCAGCTATCATCATACAGCAGCAATACAGAGCCTACAGAGTTGGCAAATGCATGCAAGCTACTTACTTGCAAATGAAAAATGCCGCTGTAGTTATTCAGTCAGCAGAGCAATTGTAAGTGCAAGGCAACAACGTAAAAGGTTTTGCTCCTTGAGAGCAGCTGCCATCACCTTGCAGTCTATGTACCGAGGGATGAGTTTAAGGAAAGAAATTGATAGAAAGCATAAAGCGGCCACTGTGATTCAGGCAATGTACAAAATGTACAGAACTCGAGTGCCATTCCAAGCTATGAAACTGGCTGCATTGGTCATACAGAGGCAATACAGGTGCCATCTACTGAGAAAAGAGGAGAGAGAGAACTTTTTGAAGCTACGGTGTAGTGCAATTGCAATTCAGGCAGTTTACAGAGGAAACCGTTTACGCCGTGACATTGCTAGAATGAATTTTGCAGCCACAGTCATTCAACGGAAGTACCTTGCCTACAAACAAAGAAAGTGCTTTTTGTCTATCAGAGCTGCTGTTGAATTCTGTCAACGACACTATCGATCCGTTTTGGTAGCAAGGCATGATCGGAGAGATTATTTTGCTAAACGCCGAGCTGTTGTTGCAATCCAAGCAACTTTCAGAGGAATGCAGGCCCGGCGACAGATCCGAAGAGAGCATGAAGCTGCAACAATCATTCAGTCCCATGTGAGAAAACACATCCTCAAGTTGCGCTTCCAGCGACTTCGGTGGGCGGTCTGTACTGTTCAGCAGCGTTTCAGAGCTAACAAAATGATGAAACGAGAGATGGCAGCACTGCAGGAACAGAAGAGTGCTGCCTTGATTCTGCAAGCAGCCTATCGTGGCATGAAGTCCAGACAGACTTTGAAGCAAATCCATCAGGCTGCCACCACCGTTCAGGCAACTTTCAGAGCTTATAGTGCTCGTAAACGGTATTTAGCCATGAAATGCGCTGCCATTGTCATTCAGCAAAGGTACCATGCCACAAATGTAGCGAAGCAGCAGAGAAAGCATTTTCTTGAAATGTGCCAAGGTGCACTTGTTGTTCAGGCATGTTATAGAGGTCTTAAAGTTAGAAGGAAACTAGTACAACAGTGTCAAGCAGCTGTCTTGATTCAGTCTTGTTTTAGGAGACACAAAGAGATGGCTAAGTATCAGGCCATGAGGTTGTCAGCTATCATTATCCAGAGCCATTACAGGTCATACACCCAGGCCAGAGCAGATCGTGAGAACTATCTACGTTTAAGAAAGTCAGTCATTGTCATTCAAGTAGCCTTTCGAGGACACTCTCTAAGGAGACAATTGGCAGAAAAGCAAGAAGCATCCATCATCATACAGGCTGCTTTCCAGATGTATCAGCAGAGGTCAGCATTTAAGAGACAGCACTGGGCAGCCAGGGTTCTCCAACAGCGATTTAGAGCCCTGAAACTTCGAGACGAGCAGATGTGTAGATACCAGCAGGTAAGAAATGCCGCTGTATGCCTGCAGAAGTCTTTCAGAGGGATGAAGGGGAGAGAACTGGCCAGATGGACCAAGGCCGCAAGAACCATCCAGTCCTACCTAAGGATGGCTGTCCAACGACAACGTTTCTTGAAAGAAAAGGCTGCTGCAATCACGATTCAGTCTGCGTACAGAGGCCATTGCGCCAGAGTTCAGCATGCCAGGATGCAAGCAAGTGCAACACTCATCCAAAAGTGGTACAGATCATGTAAACTGGTCCAGAAAGATCGAAATGGTTTTGTTGCTCTTAAGCAAGCTACGCTTACCTTGCAATCTGCATTGCGTGGAATGCTAGTGAGGAGGCTTGCAAAAAGAAGGCGGGCTGCAATCAAGATTCAGTCTGCTATGCGCATGCATGTACACCGCAAGCGGTACGTGTTGCTCCGCTCAAGTGTCCTGAAGTTGCAAGCTCATTACAGAATGTTTGTGGACCGGAGAAGATGCTGCAGGTTGCAGGCTGCAACTGTTTCTCTCCAAAAGCGTTACAGAGCTCATAGGGCAACAGCGGAGCAGAGGAGCAGTGGACACGCAGTGCGTGGACACATTGAGTACAGAAGATTTCAGAGATTGCGTGCAAGTGCCATCACAATTCAGGTATGCATGCAATTCACTATACTTGTATTCTGTCTTATCATTTGTTTTATCCTGTATCACTTTGGAAATTCAACAGAAGTGTGTAGGAGGTTTAACTGGGAAGGCAAAACCTTTTCTTTTTTTTTAACCCTCAAACAGGCACATTATCGGGGGATGATTGAAAGACGCCTGTTTCAGCATCTCAAGGAATCTGTTTTGGTTATACAGAAGCATTACAGAGCTTTTCGCCTCTGCCAGAGAGAGCGTGCACAGTTTCTTCAACTGCAAAAGTCAGCTGTTCTGATACAAGTAAGCATGTAAAAACATGTAAAATTACATTTGATTAAATTTTTCTTATTTTTTCCGTGAATCTCTAGCACCTGTTACTGCAAAAATCCTGCTTCTGTTTCTGTTTATTGTAATATACACTTTTGTGTTTCTGCTGATGATCCAATTTTAGATTTTTGGATTTAAGTGTGTATATTTGATTTTCATGTTCGGTTTATCTCTGGTTTACCTCAGACAGCATTTTGGGCTTATCAAACAAGACAACATGCTGTGCGAGCACAAGCTGCCCGGAAAATTCAGGCCTGGTTCCGAGGACACATAGCTAGACAAAACTACATTTTAAAACAAGCTGCTGTTGCAACCATTAGTCGGTGTATTCAAGCAAGACGCCAACGTTCAAGGTAACAAATAAAGGATATTTTATTATTCTCTTCTGCTTTTAAATTGTGTCACATGGAGTCACAACATGACCATTTGTCCTCCACTCCAAGATTTCTAGCAGTCCAGCGCAGTGTCCGAGTCATTCAGCAAAGAATGAGGGAAACCCTAATTGCCAGAAAACAGCATGCTGACTTCCTGAGGTTTAGAAAGTCTGTTCTATACATCCAGGCATTGTGGAGAGGTCAAAGAGTGAGAGATTCCATTCAAAAGGTACTTGTTCTTTATGTGGGAATCAATATTTATTATAAAGGAATTACTAATATAATTCTGTCTTTAAGGGGCAGTCGTGTTTGACTTATACTGACACCTAGTTGAGTGGAAGCAGCATTACACTAAAGCAAAGTTTACAATTGCTGTTGTAGAAATGTGTTGTCAACTAACATTAGCATATTCCATGAGTGAAAGTATTGAATATAGGAGATTACTGAGATATATTTAGTGGTATTTGGCTGGTTAAGGGATCATGACGTGACCCACTTTTTAATAAGAAAAAAAAGAGATTGAGTGCACCTTTTAAATGTTGGTGAACTTTGCTTTGAAATGTCACACTGTTTTGTCACCAGTTTGTATAAATTCCGGTAAGCAAAATAGACCTTGTGCAGTGATGACATTGCTCTGTAAATACACAGTCTAACTAAAGTTTATTATTTGCAGATAAAAAAAGTTTCAGGGAAACCGTTATCAAAGTCCATTCATTTATACAGAAATTGATGACATTATCCTGTGTAATTTTGCTTGTATTGCCAAGTATTTATTTTGGTCTGTTAGGTCTTGATTTATTTTTTAAATAATTGGGTCGATTTTGTTGTGCTACATAGGGATGGGCGATACCCCTTATTTTGTTTTCGATACGATACCGATATTTTTCAAGGCAGTATCGTCGATATCGATACCGATTCGATACTTCTGCACTAAACTTTTAAATTATTAAATGTATTAAATTATTAAATTACTAAGAGTAAAATGGGTAATGTAAACCACTTAACTTTGTTTAAAACGCATTTTAACCCGTTTAATCCCAAATTTTTCCCAGACATGAAAATATCCAAATGATGTGTCATTTGTTTGAGTATCGATACTTTCGATATTCGCGTCAGTATCGATACTTCGGATCGATACGCCCATCCCTAGTGCTACATAGAAAACTTTTGCTTTGACTTACAAAGAACTGCTGAAGCAGCTATAGAAACAATCCTTTTATTCACAAATGTATTTTGACATAAATGTTGTTTAGCAACTTTTGAAATCATCACTAATCCTTCAGTCTATTCTTTTTCCACAGCAAATAACAGCTGCTGTGAAGATACAGTCAGCTTTCAGAGGCTTTAGTCAAAGATGTCGATATCGCCAACAGAGAGATGCTGCCATAATTCTACAGCGCCATTTCCGATTTTTACACCTGGCCAGAATTAAAGAAGAAAATCTAAGACGACGACACAATGCCACTGTCTATCTTCAGGCTTTGTGGCGTGGTTGGCTTGCGAGACAACAGGCAAGTTTTCTTTATATCTATGAGTAATGTTGTTATTGACTTGCACAAGTAATTGGCTATTTAAAGGATTAGTTCACTTCCAGAATGAAAATTCTGTCATCATTTACTCACCCTCCATTTGTTCCAAATCTGTACGAGTTTCTTTCTTCTGTTAAACACAAACAAAGATATTGGTATTCGAACAGTTGAAAAAAAAAGTAGGAAAAAAATACTATGGAAGTCAGTGGTGCTCATCAGCTGTTTGGATACCAACATTTTTCAAAATATCTTTTGTGTTCAACAGAACAAAGAAACTCGTACAGATTTGGAACAAGTGGAGGGTAAGTAAATGATGATAGAATTTTTATTCTGGAAGTGAACTAATCCTTTAAAGGGGTCATCGGATGCCCATTTTCCACAAGTTGATATGATTCTTTAGGGTCTTAATGAAAAGTCTGTAACATAGTTTGGTTAATTTCTCAATGGTAGTGTAAAACAACACCGTTTTTTACCTGTCAAAAATAGCTCTGTCTAGAGCAAGCCGTTTTATTGCATGTCGCTTTAAAAGTTTAAATGCAAATGAGCTCTGCTCACCCTGCCCCTCTCTTCCGAGCCGCTCTCTGAGAGATGGTAAACTTTAGCCGCATTCATCGTGAAACTTGCTAACTAGCACATTATTAGGAAAGGCAATTTGTAAAGATTCATTAAAAAAAACCTTACACTCCTTCTGGAGGTGAAGCTGGATCACGAATGATTCACGCGAAGATAGACACATTTAGGTAGATCGGGGGGGGGGGGGGGGGT